CAGGGGATCAAATACTTTTTTCCCTCACTGTACACGTGTTTAGCAGATGTTATTGCGGGTGTAGCGAAATGCTTGTGCTTCTAGTTCTGACATTGCAGTAATATCTAACAAGTAATATCTAACAATTTCACAACATATACCCAATACACACAAATCTAAGGAATTAATTAAGAATATATACATATATGGACGAGCGATGTCAGAGCGGCATGGCCTAAGATACAGTAGAATAGTATAGAATACAGTATATACATATGAGATGAGTAATGCAAGATATGTAAACATTATTAAAGTGGCTAGTGTTCCATTTCTTAAAGTGGCCAGTGATTTCTAGTCTATGTCTATAGGCAGCAGATGGCCTTGAGATAGAAGCTGTTTTTCAGTCTCCCGGTCCCAGCTTTGATGCACCTGTACTGACCTCACCTTTTGGATGATAGCGTGGTGAACAGGCAGTGACTCGGGTGGTTGTTGTCCTTGATGATCTTTTTGGCCTTCCTGTGACATCGGGTGCTGTAGGTGTCCTGGAGGGTGGGTAGTTTGCCCCCGATAATGCGTTGTGCAGACTGCACCACCCTCTCGAGAGCCTTGCGGTTGCGGGCGGTGCAGTTGCCGGACCAGGCGGTGATACAACCCAACAGGATGCTCTCAATTGTGCATCTGTAAAAGTTTGTGAGGGTTTTAGGGGCCAAGACACACACTTTAGCCTCCTGAGGTTGAAGAGGCTCTGTTGCGCCTAATTCGCCACACTGTCTGTGTGGGTGGTCCATTTCAGTTTGTCAGTGATGTGTACGCCAAGGAACTTGAAGCTTTCCACCTTCTCCACTGCGGTCCCGACGATGTGGATAAGGGGGTGCACCCTCTGCTGTTTCCCGAAGTCCACAATCATCTCCTTTGTTTTGTTGACGTTGAGTGAGAGGTTATTTTCCTGGCACCACACTCCCAGAGCCCTCACCTCCTCCCTGTAGGCTGTCTCGTCATTGTTGGTAATCAAGCCTACTACTGTTGTGTCATCTGTAAACTTGATGATTGAGTTGGAGGCATGCTTGGCCATGCAGTCATGGGTGAACAGGTAGTATAGGAGTGGGCTGAGCACGCACCCTTGTGGGGCCCCAGTGTAGAGGATCAGTGAAGTGGAGGTGTTGTTTCCTATGTTCACCACCTGGGGGTGGCCCGTCAGGAAGTCTAGGACCCAGTTGCGGGGTTCAGTCCTAGGGCCTCAAGCTTAATAATGAGCATGGAGGGTATTATGGTGTTGAATGCGGGGTTCAGACCCAGGACCTTGAGCTTAATGATGAGCTTGGAGGTTATTATGGTGTTGAATGCTGAGCTATAGTCAATGAACAGCATTCTTACATAGGTATTCCTCTTGTCCAGATGGGATAGGGCTGGATTTCCTTTTGTAGTCCGTGATTGTCTGTAGACACTGCCACATACGTCTCGTGTCTGAGCCGTTGAATTGCGACTCCACTTTGTCTCTATACTGACGTTTTTCTTGTTTGATTGCCTTGCGGAGTGAATAACTACACTGTTTGTATTCTGCCATATTCCTAGTCACCTTGCCATGGTAAAATGCGGTGGTTCGTGCTTTCCATTTCGTGTGAATGATGCCATCTATCCATGGTTTCTGGTTAGGGTAGGTTTTAATAGTCACAGTGGGTACGACATCTCCTATACACTTCCTGATATATTCAGTGACCGTATCGGTGTATTCGTCTAGATTATTTTTGCAAGCTACCCGGAACATATCCCAGTCCGCGTGATCAAAACAATCCTGAAGCGTGGATTCCGATTGGTCAGACCAGCGTTGAATAGTCCTTAGCACGGGTACTTCCTGTTTGAGTTTCTGCCTATAGGAAGGGAGAAGCAAAATGGAGTCATGGTCAGATTTGCCGAAAGGAGGGCGGGGGAGAGCCTTGTAAGCATCGCAGATGTTTGAATAACAGTGGTCCAGTGTTTTAGCAGCGCGAGTACTACAGTCAATATGTTGATAGAACTTCGGCAGCCTAGTCCTCAAATTTGCTTTGTTAACCACAGCTACAATAAATGCACCCTCAGGATATGTGGTTTCCAGTTTGCATAAAGTCCAGTTCTTTGAGGGCCGTCGTGGTATCGGCTTGAGGGGGGATATAAACGGCCATTGCTATAACGGAGGAAAATTCTCTTGGGAGATAATACAGTCTGCATTTGATTGTGAGGTATTCTAGGTTGGGTGAACAAAAGGACTTGAGTTCCTACAATTACACCATAAGTCATTAATCATGAAACGCACACCTCCGCCCTTCTGCTTCCCGGAGAGATATTTATTCCTATCTGCGCGATGAACTGAGAAACCCTCTGGCTGGACCGATTCAGACAGAGTGTCCTAAGAGAGCCATGTTTCCATGAAACAAAGTATGTTACAGGCCCTGATGTCTCTCTGGAAAGAAATCCTTGCCCTGAACTCATCAACTTTGTTATCCAAAGACTGAACATTAGCGAGTAATATACTGGGTGGTGTGCGCGCCTCCTAAGTCGAACCAGCAGGCCGCCTCGCGTGCCTCTCCTCTGCCGGCGATGTTTTGGGTCAGCCTCTGGAATCAGAAGCTAGCTGTCCTCCGGCTACACCATGGTGCTACCCTACAGAGTGCTGTTGAAGCTACTGTAGACCTTCTTTGCATAAGTGTGTTTTAATCAGTTATTTGGTATAGTTTTATCTAAAAAGGATAACTTTCTAAATGTTTTACATTTTAAATGTGAATCCTCTTCAGAGGAGCCTCCACTGATTGCTTGGTACCACATTTGTACCATTTTGTACAAATGACATTTACCTTACAGCTCCCTGACTCAGGCTTTCTAGCCATTCTTCCAGTTCATTAGCAGCTAAGGTCTTACAAAGTACAAGGCCATAATCAGCAGCACACTTATATCCATTCACAGGTGCCACCCATTGATTCAAAACAGAAAGACTGAGACAGAGCATGGTGTGAATGTGTGAAAACATATTTACAATTTATTGATAGATAGATAGATGCAGGTGAGGCTCTCAAATTCTGTTAATAACATTAGTCATCAGAGAAGGGTAAATGTTCTAGTCACATAATGATAACAGCAGTGGAATAGAACAGTATTTGGACTGTTTGCCTGTTTACTTGCAGCATCAGTCCATATTTACAACAGGTGCAGACATTACAGTGAAATGCTTACTTACAGCCCTTAACTGTTGGTTAAGGGCTGTAAGTAAGCATTTCACTGTAATGTCTGCACCTGTTGTATTCGGCGCATGTGACCAATAAAATTTGATTTTATTTTATTTTATTTATTTCTCATTGGAGAAAAAGCTCAGAAGTTGAAGCGTGTATGGAAGCAGTCTGCTGCAGTCCACTGGCAGAAGAGAGGAGAAACAGAAAGCACAACAGCAGCAGCATTAAAACATCAACCTCTAAAACAAACAAAGTAATAAAAAGGGAAAAACAAACATAGGCCGCTTCACAAAATGGTACCCTATTCCCTAAATAGTGCACTACTTTTGACCAAAGTCCTATATTGGCCCTAGTCAAAAGTAGTGCACTATGTAGGTAATATAGTGCCATTTGGGATGCACCCAAAAACAAAAAGGCATTCCAGTGACTACTACAGGTTAAACGAGACTACTACAGGTTAAACAATTGGATATCATAAATATTTATTTTCACTATGGATCTTATCCATTGCAATTATTAAGACCTGCTTGAGTGGGGCACACCAGTTGATCTACAATCTCTGTATGTACAAGTTATATCTGTCTCCAGACTAGTCTGTGAAATTCCAGTTTCACATATCGAAGAGGGAGTATAAGGGTTACGATTTATTTAGGTTCTCAGTCACCATAACACATATGGAGAACTAAAGGCACTGTAACAATTGATCATATCGAAACCAACAATTTTAGATGATTTTAAGGTAAGTGGGGCCATAGCAGTGGTGGTACTGGCCGTCTTAGTATTGCTTAACTAATGCAATACACACCGTATTAAGTGGCATTAGGTAGTACACATTTTTAATTGGTTCAGGTCAGACTAGTTCCATTCAGTCAAAACAGCTTTGCCTTTAAAATGGCTGCCTCTCTAAAGACCAATACCCTTACTCCCCATACGGATTGGCAAGGAGAGATGCAACATCACACCTTTACACTGAATAGTAGGCATAATTCTAGAACCTGTTGACTCAGTGTCAACACTTAATACTGTATGTGCCAATTTAATATAGGCAAATGTAAATGCTTGTGTGTGACCCTCTATTTTACATTTTGTAATCAGCAAATAAAGGTTAAATAGCTGCACAGGCACAATCAAAAATTTCTGTCTAGACTTGCTGGAGTGGACATGGACGAAATACCAGCGAGAGCGCTTACTATTTGAAAGGGCAAAGTGTATCAAGAAGTCGTATTAATTAAGGACAACACAAGACCGTAACAGTTAGAATGTCTTGGCTTGACTGTTGTTCATCAGTACTTTCCATTATAGTAAGTAAGTGTAAATCTTTCTGTCTGATTAGAATGCTCCATTCTGTGTAAGTCTCTTCTCACAGGGGCTGTTTCTGGGGTGGAGCGTACAGAGCGCTCAGTCTGGCCAGAGAGACTATTCCATGCTAGGCTATTCTGTCCATCCCTGGCATGGCTGTGCTTTTGGACAATCCCCAGTGGTCTTGGTCCATACAGTAAACACAACAGCAGTCTGTAAACTAGAACACATACAGTAGAAGCTGAATGGACGGGAAAGTCAGTGATGCCTTGCTTTCATGCATGTAGTTGTAAAGGAAGGAGGCAGGCAGGAGGCAGGTTCACATTGTATTATTGTATATCCTCCATGACAGACACAGGGGAAACCCAGGGCATTGGTTCATTGTCTCAACACATTGTCCACACGTCCACTAACACACTCGCCCCAATCCCAAAACGATCCACTCTTTTCAGATCTCAAGGAGTGCCTAGGGAGCTAGGGGTTGATTTGCGATTCAGAAAGTTTGTCCAGTCAGTGTTTCAGTCATTTGAGTGAGTAGAGCAGTTCAGCAGTATGACACAGGGACAGAGGGTGAGCGGCGCTGAAGTACTGACAACACAGCCAGTCCTCCAACTCTGCATTCCTTTCCGGCTCCAGAGACCTCTCAGCAAACTTCATCATCAGCAGGGCTCTCTTCACGTCCAGCCAGTTGAGGAGGCCCTCGTGGCGTGGCCCTTCTCCGGGGCCCAGCCTGTCTCGGTCCCCCCACTGCTGCTGCTCCATCAGGTCCCTCCGGGGGCCCCACAGTAGGCTCTGCAGCACCCGCTTAGCCTCCTGGATGTGGATGCGTTTGATTGGGTCTGGCTGGAGGAGCAGCCGGGTTAGTCTCTGGAGCCCAGCGGAGTAGAGGGAGACTGGAGGAATGGGGGGCAGGTCCTCACAGCTATAGTCCTGTTCTTTCAGTTTCGGGCTCACCTCGAACGGGTTGGGCTGGTGGAGCAGCTCGTAGATCAGGATTCCCGTTTGGAACTCGTCGAATTTCCGGTACTGGGCGGCTGACACGATCTCCGGGGCCAGGCGGGCGTGGTCGCGTTTAAGGCGGGGGTCATTGGCAGCGGAATCCTCAGTGTTTCGCTGCTTGGCCTTGGCGAAGCTGGAGATGACCAGGCGGGGGAGGTACTTCTGGTCGTAGGGGGCGTTGGGGTTGGCCTGCAGGGGGCAACGGTGAGGGATCAGGAGGAGGTTCTCCAGACAGAGGTCGCGGTGCGTGACCCCGTGCTCCTTTAGGTGCTCCAGACCGTTGCACAGCTGCAGTAGGAGGAAGCAGACCCGCCGCTCGTACACCTACATAAAAAACAATACATTTCATTTGTAGAGCGCTTTTCATCAGAAATCACAAAGCTCTGTACATCAAAACAAGCTAATAAAAAGGCGGAAAACTTAAAGCTAAAATGAAGAAAGCTAGGGGAGTGTCCCAAATGGCACCCTATTCCCTATATAGTGCACTACTTTTGACCAGAGCCCTATTGGGCCTAGGGTGCCATTTGAGACGCAGCCTAGTACTGTACAAGATACGGGACAGACGACTGACCTCCGGCTGAGCCTGGTGGAAGGACGCCCACTCCTTCACGAAGTCTGCCGTACTCTGCTGTGGCACCTCCCGGGTGATAACCACCACGCGTTCCTTGTCCCCCTGCGTTGGGTTGGGCCCGAGGGGCAGTGAAGCCTCGTCAGGGGGGAGCATGCTCTGGGGAACGCAGGCGATGAAGTGACCACAGTCCTGTTGGAGGTTGAAGTGGGGTGGGAGGGTTTGCTGGACAGACAAGCCGTAGAGGTGACCCTGCTTGGCTTCAGAGGTCTGGCTCTTACAGATCTGGAGGGAGAGAGAGAAACATAATGGTTAGAGTTGGTAGAGAATGGAGGAGGGGAGAGTCAAAGCCATAATGTGGAGAGAATGGGGAAATACTAATTATATTGAAACAGTTTTATGACTTGTATGGGGCGGCGCACAATTGGCCCAGCGTCGTCCAGGGTAGGGGAGGGAATGGTCGGCAGGGATGTAGAGCATGGCGTTTGCAACGCCAGGGTTGTGGGTTCGTTTCCCACGGGGGGTATGAAAAAAAATAAAAATAAAAAATCAAATAATGTATGCACTCACTAACTGTAAGTCGCTCTGGATAAGAGCGTCTGCTAAATGACTAAAATGTAAAATGTTATCTCTGCATCCAGAACCAAATCTTGCCTGTGTGCTTGCACGCTACTTGCCTGTGTGCTTGCACGCTACTTGCCTGTCACGAGATTTTACAATAGATTTCCCCTTGTTTGCAGCTTCAAGTAGAGACATTAACACATTCTCTACTTGCACTGTGAGATTTAGTATTCTCACTCGCTGTCACCAAGCTTTAAATCCTGCATTCATTCCGATCTTGTTTTCAAGCAGACAAACACTGGTACACTTATGGTATTACTGTCTAACTACAAGCAGCTCAGATTAATGAGTTTCATCATGTACAATATGTGCAAAGCCAAACACTGTGAGTTGCATCCCAAATGGCACCCTATGCCCTACATAGTGCACTACTTTTGACCAGAGTCCTATAGGCCCTAGTCAAAAGTAGCGCACTATATTGGGAATAGGGTGAGCTCTGATATGACATAGTGTGCTTCCCAAATTGCACCCTATTCCCTATATAGTGCACTACTTTTGACCAGGGCCCATAGGCAAATGTAGTGCACTATATAAGGAATAGGGTGTAATTTGGGACGTAGACATAGTGATTAACTGTGATTCTACAGATTGCAGACTGATGATTACTATGAAGGCTGGATGATTTCATACACTGTGTGTGTGTGTGTGTGTGTGTGTGTGTGTGTGTGTGTGTGTGTGTGTGTGTGTGTACAGGCCTTGACAACAGGGGTGTGTATGACTGTAAATCCTGGCTGGCATGAAAAGATTAATGGACCCAGAGACATAAGGCAAGACTATACAGAGCCTCAGGCAGCAAACCTCCCCTAACACACACACACACACACACACGGCTGCCCTGTTCTGGATTTACACGTTGCTAATGACTTTGGGACAAAGGTCAGTCATAATGAATGCAGAGCAGCACACCCTCCTCCCTCCACAGCAGGCTACAGTACATTCCCTGGAGGAACACTAGAATGGTGGGACCTTCCTTCTCTTCTCTCAGAGAACAAACAAAGTCTGTCCCAAATGGCACCCTATCTCCTATATAGTGCATTACTTTTGACCAGAAGCCCATAGGACCTGGTCAAAAGTAGTGCACTATGTAGGGAATAAGGTGCCATTTGGCACACAAACAAAGTGAAGGGGCTGTGGCTCCCTTTGGATCTCAGTCAAAGAGCTTGTTAACGGGTCGCTCTTACTTCATTGGACATGTTTTATTGTTTAACAAGCTACTCTTTAACAAGGTAGGAAGATTACCTTGATTGATGAGTAGAACTTACACAGTCCAATCACAGGGGAGTCTGAACGTACACAGTCCAATCAGAGAGGAGTTTGAATTTAAACTACAGATTACAAAGAACCTCTTCTCACGGTAATTATGGGAGATGCCTCTAGACATGTCTCTCACAGACACATACACACACACACAGTAACACATCCTCGCCCCACGCTTGTTTATAATTCCACACGTTTTTGTATTCTCAGCCTTGTTGTTTTGTCTTTCACACTTATTGTAAACATTAAACACCAGAGTCCTTGATATCAAAACTATTTGATTATCAAGCACTACATGAGAGCCTTGGCCCCCAAAACAATCCCACTTTGAAACTCAAGAACACAGAGAGACAAATCTCCCTAGGGAAAGCGTTCTTCTGACCTAAATGGGGCTTAAATAAAGATTAACTAAATAAAAGTTTGTGTTCAGTTACCTTGACTGTGTGTGTAGTGTATTGGCACAAAAAAAAAAACAGTTGAAATTTAAGACCACAGAGAGCTATAGAGATGAAAGGTATCTAATGTTGTTACCTTGACAGCGTAGGAGTTAGATGGGTCGGAGGCGCAGGCAGCAGAGTAGTAGACAGCATCGCCTGCATTACAGCTGGCCTTGTTACAGGTCAGTTTGAACAGGGACCAGTTGCTCTCATCGAAGCGCAGCGTGTTCTTCTGACTGCGGGTGAAGTGGTCCTCACATTTTAGAGCCAGGCGCCGCAACGACTCAGCGTACAGGCCTCCCAGCTTAGAGTAGATCCCCTCTCTACTGTCTATGTTACTGAGCAGGGTCTGCAACTGCAGGCTAGAGCCGTGGGTGGGCCCGGAGGCCGAGAGGTGAAGGGCACTGAGCTGGGGGGAGGAGGAGGAGGTGATGCTGCCCCGGCTGTGTCCTCCGAGTCGACCACGTACTTTCAGGGGTTCGTCCAGGGTCCGGGAGCGCAGGGGGCGACCCAGAGGCGCATGACAGCGCTCTAAGGATTCGGAGGAGGAGTAGACGGGACGAGGGTCGACAGGGGAGGACGGGAGGCTGGACAGGGATGGTACATCTGGACGAGATGCGTTACTCTCAGAGCCACCGGTGAAGGGGAGGCGGGGGAAGGCCCGGACCAGGGGTTTCCCGGCCGCACTGTCAGGGGCGGAGACGGTGCGGTTCACCATCTTCTTCTCGGGGAGAGGTGGTGGCTGCAGCTGGTTGGAAAGGTTGTTGCTAGGGAACGGGTCAGGGTGAGGAGACCCTGGAGAGGAGTCCATGGGGCTTCTGGGAAATGGGGAGGCGCACGACAGACGAGGGGCATCATGGGAACCTGTAGAGAGAGAGAAGTCATCAGTATTCATGTTGATATTGGATATCACACTGAGACAGGCTACAGGCCCAAGAGAAAAGATTACATTTGAAGCACATTTCCATTTTTTTGGTATACTGAATTTGCTGAAACACATCAAATATGACTGGAGAACTACCAGTACCAGCAGTATCAACACTTCTCTGATCAAACAGTTGCCGAACCCATATACATATAAAAAACATTTGATCAAAACAACATCTAACACTAGAAAAATATCTGAGCTGACTTCTCTGAACTGTGTGTGTGTGTGTGTGTGTGTGTGTGTGTGTGTGTGTGTGTGTGTGTGTGTGTGGTGTGTGTGTGTGTGTGTGTGAGTGTGAGAACCCAACTTCAGCCATAAGGGAGACTGGGCATCTATCAGATTATAACATTTTAAGTGTTTGTGCTAGTAACGTATTAATATTTCTCTATGAAATAGCCAATGAATATATAGCACAACTTTGGATTTCACCTGTCTCCAGATCAAATGGTTTTGATCGTTTGGAACTTTTTACGCAGTAAGCTTCTCTTCTCCTCTCGCTTCATCCATGCAGTGCTGCTCGCCAAAAGTGTTTGCTGTCCTTCTTATGAAATGATCAACTTTACCCTGTATATCTAAAAATGACCATACAGTGCATTCGGAAAGTATTCAGACCCCTTGACTTTTTCCACATTTTGTTACGTTACAGCCTTATTCTAAAATGGATTACATTGTTTTTCCTCATCAATCTACACACAATACCCCAAAATGACAAAGCAAAAACTGGTTTTTAGAAATTGTTGCAAATATCACACTTACATAAGTATTCAGACCCTTTACTCAGTACTTTGTTGAAGCACCTTTGGCAGCGATTACAGCCTCGAGTCTTCTTGGGTATGACACTACAAGCTTGGCACACCTGTATTTGTGGGATTTCTCCCATTCTTCTCTGCAGATCCTCTCAAGCTCTGTCAGGTTGGATGGGGAGCGTCGCTGCACAGCTATTTTCAGGTCTCTCCTGAGATGTCCGATCAGGTTCAAGTCCGGGCTCTGGCTGGGCCACTCAAGGACATTCAGAGACTTGTCCCGAAGCCACTCCTGCGTTGTCTTGGCTGTGTGCTTAGAGTCGTTGTCCTGTTGGAAGGTGAACCTTTCACCCCAGTCTGAGGTCCTGAGCGCTCTGGAGCAGGGTTTCATCAAGGATCTCTTTGTACTTGGTGGTTCCAAACTTCTTCCATTTAAGAATGATGGAGGCCACTGTGTTCTTGGGGACCTTCAATAATGCAGATATTTTTTGGTACCCTTCCCCAGATCTGTGCCTCGACACAATCCTGTCTCGGAGCGCTACGGACAATTCCTTTACCACAGGTGGACTCCAATGAAGTTGTAGAAACATCTCAAGGATGATCAATGGAAGCAGGATGCACCTGAGCTCAATTTCGAGTCTCATAGCAAAGGGTCTGAATACTTATGTAAATAAGGTATTTCAGTTTTTTATTTTTAAGAAATCTGCAAAAATGTATAAACAGTTTTTTTCTTTATCATTATGGGGTATTGTGTGTAGATTGAGGATATTAAAAAAAATAATACATTTTACAATAAGACTGTAACGTAACAAAGTGGAAAAAGTGAATACTTTCCGAATGCACTGTATACACTGACTGTTTAAAGCAAAACTATCCAAACTATTGCTGATGGTGAACCTGAACAATCGAAATAAAATTGAATATAAGCCTCGATCAGCAGGTAGGCTATAGCCAGATCAGAGTTGTGTCTCTGGTAGCTTACTTTTATTCCGGTAAAACCCAATTTTCAACAGCGCATTTGATAACAATAACCTAGCAAATTACATTGGTTGTCACTCAACTAATAAAGCCTAATATTGCGCAAGCCATTTTACAAGCATTTGAATGCTGAAGGTGCCCCGCAGATATGCAAGATCAGGAATAGACCTCTCTTTGGACAGTGGGCGAAGCTGGGCACAGTGTGCAGTTTGACTAGGCTACTGATATTCCCTGGGGTTGTTCGGCATGCAAAGGGACTTGTAGATCAATGACTGTCAATGCATTTACATGCTTAGTTCGACACTGAAGGAGTAAAAAGAAAATAGGTATTTTCAGAAGGTAGAAAGAAAGGTATTTGAGGGAGAAAAAAAAAAGTGAACCGACGATTCGTAATGTTTGAATCGATTTTCTGACTGATGCATGCTAGATTTGGATTGGTTTGGTATCTTAAACATTTGAACTGGGGACCGAAGCGTATCGGTGAATCGTTACATCCCCAGTAAACACAGATCTCTACCATAAACAGGGTTGTTACAGGTACAGTCGGCCACCAATGGTTCAGAGACTAAGCAATAGGCAGAGTGAGGAGAGCGACTAACTGCCACTAGTAGTTACTGTTTAACTCAGGCGCCTGTATTGATTCTTATAATTGGAGCTTTGTGTCCCAGTGTCCTTGTGCCTCCCTCACCCAGAAGGCTATACATACAGTACCAGTCAAAAGTTTGGACACACCTACTCATTCAAGGGTTTTTCTTTATTTTTTACTATTTTCTACATTGTAGAATAATAGTGAAGACATCAAAACCATGAAATAACACATTTGGAATCATGTAGTAACCATTAAAGTGTTAAACAAATAAAAATATATTTGAGATTCTTCAAATAGCCACCCTTTGCCTTGATGACATCTTTGCACACTACAATGTAGAAAATAGTAAAAAATAAAGAAAAACCCTTGAATGAGTAGGTGTGTCCAAACTTTTGACTGGTACTGTATATAGTACAGTACATTACCAATTCAGTACATTATCCCTCACCCACAAACCTACAGTACATTAACCCTAACTCATAAACCTATAGTACGTTTTCCATAAACATACAGTACATTATCCATATGTAACAGAGATCTTCTGCCCAGCAACACACGCAACTCAAAGCCAACTGTCTTAGCCAACAGAGCAAGCTTCCTTACCCCTCACCCATAAACCTACAACCTACAATCCACAACAGCATCTGCCTGGGTGACTTTGGCTCAGCAGGCTATAGCTGCACCCATCCCTGTCACTGTATCACTGTTATAATGGCTAACATCTTAGTCATATCAGTCAGTACACATTTAATCTATTCAAAGTTCCCTGAGAGGGTGTAGTGAGGGAGTTAAACAATTTAAGGTTCAATATGATGGTCAACATGTCTGCTGTGCAATACCATTAGGAAATGGTGAATTAAAGAGTACAGTATAAAGAATGTGAAACTCCATAGTCTAACCCAGAGAGAGATTGTGTGGTTGTTGACAGTAAGGCTGCATCTCAAATGGCACCATATTCCCTACAAAGTGCACTACTTTTAACCAGCGCTTTGGGCTCTGGTCAAAAGTAGTGAACTATGTAGGAAATAGGGTCACATTTGGAACACAGACTAAATGAGTGGGTTTCCAGAGCGGAAATCTGAAGGAAAGATGGCATGTATGCATGAAGCAGCAAAAGCCCTTATTTTCCTCGTTATCAAAGTCCCATAATTATCTCTTCAAACACTTCCCAGGAAGTGAGGCAATTACATACTGTCTGGGAGTGTCCCAAATGGCACCATATTCCTTATGTAGTGCATTACATTTGACAGGAGACCTATGGTCAAAAGTAATGCACTACATAGAGAACAAGGTGCCATTTGGGTCGCATCCACTGGGCTTTAGAACTTATATGGAGAGACGAAGACAGTGACGCCAAACAAGAGCGATGGTGCGTCAGACCTCAGCCAGCAGCGTGCAGGGTTACACACACACACACACACACTGATTCAATATGTCTATGTGGAAAAAGTATATTTCAAAACAAAGGCTTGTCACACAGACAGAGAGACAGACAAACACACAATGTGAAAGAGGAAGAGGACAGAGAAATGAACACTTGACTTCTGCTACTATAACCTCAGTCACCTCATATCTGCAGTAGCCTTTTCCTCTTCTGATTGTTCTCTCACCTTCAACCTAGTTAGATGGCTTCCTTCTAGTAGAATATGTTTTTCCTGATCAGGTAACATATTATAAAGGGCAATATTTCCCCCAGGAAATACTCTGGGGCACTGTTTTCTCCATTATTTCTCCCAGCGATGTTGGATACATGTAGTTAGGGCTGCACGATTAATCGAATTCAGATCAAAATTGCGATATTGACATTTGCAATATCCATATCGCAAGAGGCTGCGATTTTCTCCTTTCTTTGACACTCCGTTAATACATTTACATTTTAGTTATTTAGCAGACGCTCTTATCCAGAGCGACTTACAGTTAGTGAGTGCATACATTTTCATACTGGCCCCCCGTGGGAAACGAACCCACAACCCTGGCGTTGCAAGCGCCATGCTCTACCAACTGAGCTACAGGGGACAAAAACTAGACTATGGTACCTCCAATAAGATGCGATAGACTCAGTTTATTCACTCTCTACAGATGTAGGATCTTAATTTGATCACCCTGCAATGCAGGAAATTAAACATTTGTAGTGTAGTTGAGATTCAAAAAGGCTTCTGAAGTTTGTAATTCCCACTTTGAAATTTCAGATTTGATTTTCCCTTACGAAAAATGTATCAACCCCTACAAAAATGTAAATTAATTATAATCCGTATAATAATTCACATTTCCTTTTGCTGCAGGATTATTTTCCTGCTGTAGCAAACTGGCTGACATTACGATCCTACATCTGTACATGCACAGAGGATGTTGACCAATTCCAAGCAAACTCTCTCACTCTCTGCATGGCATGTACATGCTGGCCAATCACAAGCGTCCCCGCTTAACCTCTACGGTATCGGTGTCCCGTATACGGGACGGTTGAGCTAACGTGCGCTAATGTGATTAGCATGACTGTTGTAAGTAACAGCAAACTTTCCAGGACATAGACATGTCTTATATGGGCAGAAAGATTACATTCTTGTTAATCTAACTGCACTGTCCAATTTACAGTTGCTATTACAGTGAAAAAAATACCATGCTATTGTTTGAGGAGAGTGCACAACGACAAAAACCTCTGAAGGTAAATAATGTACTTACATTCAGTCATCTTGCTCTGATTTGTAATCCTAAGGGTCCCAGAGATAAAATGTAGCATAGTTTTGTTTGATCAAATCCATTTTTATATTAAAATGTAGGAACTGGGTTCTACAGTTTGAACCCCTGCTGTCTCTGGCTCCACACCCACCCCGCCCGGCCATCTAGATGTGTGAAAGTTAGTGTATAAGCTAATGATCTGTCATGTATGACATTCCTGGGAGTGTGTAAACTTACATTTTGTATTACTATATATTTTTTGTATGTTCTCTATAGTTATGTACTTGAAAAAGTATCAATTGACCAATTCTGCACATTTGGGCAGACTTGATACAATATAGTCCAGTATTGCAATGGTTCACTGGATCAATCTGAAACTTTGCATACACTGCTGCCATCTAGTGGCCAAAATCTAAATTGCGCGTAAACTGCAAAGAAATAATAGAAAACGCATGTTTTATCAGATCTAATGTGTAATATTCTCCTACATTTCACATTTCCACAAACTTCAAAGTGTTTCCTTTCAAATGGTATCAAGAATATGCATATCCTTGCTTCAGGTCCTGAGCTACAGGCAGTTAAGTTTGGGTACGTCATTTTAGGTGAAAATTGAAAAAAGGGTCCGATCCTTAAGAGGTTAAAGCGCGCAGTTAGACTCTGGTGAGGAAAGAAAGGGCTTTACCTGTGTGTGTGCGTCGGAATGACAACGTCGATTTGGTGCCAAAGAAGGGCGCATCTTCAGTGGTATGGCAGTATTTCGGCTACTTGCAAACCGATGTCAAGCAAATTGAAGTGTTGTGTAAAAAGTGCCTCAGAGTTGTGGCGACAACAAGAGGCAACACAATACATTTATTAAATCATTTGAAGAATAACCATCCCCTACTTTACAATGATTGCATGGTGAAAAAAACGTGCGACAGTAGCAAAGCTGCTCAGCCACACCAAGCCACCTAAATAGGCATTGATTGCCGATACGTTTTCAAGTGTAACGCCCTACAAAAAAACATCCCGCAGACACATAAATCACAGAGGCTATCACCTATAACATAGTTTAATAAATGATCCTATTTACACAGTCAGCAAAGACGGCTTCAAGAAGATGAAAACAAGCTGGACAGGAGATACAAGGTTCCATCTCACACATGTTTCTCCCAAGTCGCCATCCCAACACTGTATAACAAAATTAAGGGAGAAGTTGAAACATTGAATGTCGCGTTGAATGACTGGACCAAACTCCAATGTTTTGGTCACAGGCTGCACCTTGCAATCGGTAGCCTACGTGTTAGATGTTTTTTTTTAAAGGCACTTTGACTTATCATTTCAAATATAATAATGATTGAGCCTACTTCTACATATCTACATATTCATAAGTGGTCCTCTGTAGCTCAATTGGTAGAGCACGGCGCTTGTAATGCCAGGGTAGTGGGTTCGATCCCTGGGACCACCCATACCTAAAAATGTATCACACATGACTGTAAGTCGCTTTGGATAAAAGCGTCTGCTAAATGGCATATTATATTATTATTATTATTATTATTATTATTATTATTATTATTATTATTATTATTATTATTATAAGCTTCCTATTCCATCTGCAGCCTATGGGTACCTGAATAAATAATTAACTTATGTTAATTAAGAACACAATGGTAAAATAGAAACAAGGAACTCAATATGTTATTCATTAATTAATGAATAAGTGCTGCGCTTATAGCACACTATATTTTGATGATGTTAAAAATGTGTTTGTTAACATGCAGGTGTAATAATCATATCTATTATCATTTGTAGCCTATAACAAAGTTGGAAAATATTTGTTTCATTTGGTTTAATATTTAGTTAGCACAGTATGTATTCATTCAAATGATCTCATTTTAGAAGTGATGTTCTCTACCCTGACAGTTGTTTTAACCATGTCTGATGGAATTACCAAGTTTTCACCCAAGTGTTTGAAAATCGCAATTCATAATCGCAATTGCAATATCTGGCCCAAAAAAACTCAATTCGATATTTTGTCGAAATCGTGCAGCCTTGCGTGTAGTGCTCTCTGAAAATGTTTTCTTCTGCTCTCGTATCTCTTGTCCCTAGTTCTATGTCCTGGCGGGTGGCTGTACTCACCAGAATCAGAGCGGGCTCTGTTGGAGTCTACAGGCAGGCTGTCGGTGGAGGCTGTAGGCAGGCTGCTGCTCCCCAGGCCACAGAGACTGTGGGACAGGCTCTCTACGGAGCCCTGCTGGCTACACGGGTCCAGCTCCACACTGCTCTGGCTCATCTTACCAGACACCCTGCAGAGAGAGGAACATAGAGACTGACTGTGTGGGGGGGGGGCGGGGTGGGGGGGGGGGGGCGGGGGGGGGGGTGTAGTGCCTTATCTCTATAACCAGGAAGTTACATTAATAATAACAAAACAGCTTCCCACCATTAAAAACAAATGATCACTCACTGTTATCAAAACTGTCTGATGCTTGCACTGCTTAAAAACAACTAACAAAATGTATCTTGCGCCTCTCAACAATTACAGACAGTGTTCTCTATTCCAACCAGTTAAAAAGAACACAGCATGTTAGTTCTCCTGTCTAATTTCAGGAAACTGGTTGAGCGTGTGTTGTGTGTGTTGTTGTGTGCTGCTTCCCTGTCAGTTTTTCTTCAGGGTGAGAGATGGTTGTTTACGCTCTACTTTTGTCTCTGTGAGCCAAATATCTAGTTCCCCTTCCATCTTATCTAGATATCTCAACCTGTCTGGATGTGAATAAGACAGTAAGGCCACTACATGAGTTAACATGCCTCAACGCTTCACAAGTACACATAAAACATCAGATAAATTATTCTCACTTTCCTGGCTGACTGAGTGCTTGTTGTTGCTGTCTCTTTTTAGATAAATAATTTTCTAGCACACAATACTTGTACCATACTAGAACCAAAACAATGCCAATTCATTCATACAGACACTATAGTTGTTTGCCGAATTGACCATTCTAGTGCTAGGGGATAATAATGCTGTTTTTGAAAATGTCTGCCACTTTCCACCTCCCAGCCCCATTTAATAATGTACCTGTTCCCCAAATCAACCGACAAAAGCTCTACTCTAAAACGATAAATAGAAATCCATTTTTGGTTTCCCCTGCCATGATTGTGCCTATCTGATTATATCTGAATGAAAAGGAGCTCCATCCTCCTGGGGTAGTTTTCCTAATCATGGGGCCCAATTGGACTGAGTGACAAGCCGGCCATTCGGGAGAGAGTGGGCTTACCTCAACCTAAGTCTCAAACTCTGAGATCATTTGTATCCTAAACATCAGATTTCCCTCATCAGATTTTCCCCCAGCTACTATAGGAATGTAATATTCATTCTGAGTAGTGTCCTGAGTAAATGTAAAGACAATCTTCTCAGTGACAGTCAAGGACACATTACAGGGAAGGACCTTGAGTGAGATTGAGCCTTTATGTTTTCATAAGAGAAGACCTGCATGGACAGCCTCCCACCATAAGCGTTACATTAAACAGTGCCAATGTCTTATAACTGGATGGTAATAACTGGACAGGGTATTTGTTCTGAATCGTAGGGACACTTAGGATGGGATCCAAACAAATGCAGATAAATGACCTGTGCACTGCGATACATTTTCAAATGCAATTTCCCAGACATTTTCAGTTATCACGTTCGCATGTAAACATTGCTATTGTAGGCTCTAGCGTAAATCACCTTCAAAAGTCAATTGCAGTGTACAGGTAATCCATCTGCGTTTGTTTGGATCTCAGTACTTATAGCAAATATGTAGAAAGTAAACAACAGTGCTAAGAAGCATAGTGGATCTGTTGACACTTATGATATCATTACATGCATGTGGTATTTTTAAAGAAGCATCAGGATTGAGGGGAGGGTGAGTTATATGGGGTTGAGGAGCGGGTGAGTTATAAGGGGTTAAGTTATAAGGGGACTACAGATGGTAGTGTTGAAAGCTGAGCCCCACTTGCCTACGGGTGGTGTTGTGGTAGATTATGTTCTACAGTACTGAGTCTCTCTGTCTCTTCTGTTTCTCTTCCTCTGTTTATCTCAGTCACACAGCCCTCCTCTGAGTTACAAAAGAGAATAGCTACCTAGTAGCTAGGTTACTTTAAAGTAGTCCGCAGCCTCCATCACTTCCCCTGCCTGATGGTCACATGATCTGTGACTACGTTGTCAGATGATGATTGGATAAAAAGATTCCCAAAACAATAACAATCTCTGAAACCTTGTTTATTGTGGCATGGCTTCCATTAGATCTTCAGGTAGATGTCTTTCTGATCAATTACCAGTGTCTAAGGGGTTGAGTAATAGTGTACATTTACGCCTACCTGGTGGCCGACCTGCTTATACTGTGCCCCTCTCTCTCCGTCCCTCGCTAGCTCGCTATGAAAGATGTATGTTTGTGTTCTTGGAAGTACAGCAACTAATCAGTGTCCTCCGTTCCAAAAACACTGTATTTTAGGAGTCGATTCCTAGCGGAATCGAATCTTGACACTCAGAAGTGGGAGTTGACACCGGGAATCGACGTGCAAGGAGTCGAGGAATCAATTATTTTGGAGTCGCCTCTCCACCCCTACGTCATCGTCGTTAACAGTTGGAAGAATGGCAGAGAAAGGTAAGCGACAGCAGCGAAGTCCTGTATGGCAATACTTTGAGAAGTTAAATGAGAAGGAAATGCAAACTTTGCAAGGTGGAATTGAGGTACAGTAATGGTAGTACATGTGCAATGCTTCACCATCTGAAAGGGACGCACCGTGAGACCCAAACTGTTGCTGGCAACTAGATAGATGTATGTATAAATAATAATAGACGTATATATTTTAAATAACTGCCCTTTTCCTGGCCCGCAAATTGATTTTGAGGAACAAATCGGTAAAACAAAATCTGTGCGGCCCTCCGTTGAATTTCGAAATCCAAATGTGGCCCTCGTGACAAAAAGTTTGCCCACCCCAATCTATGTAACATATCTCCAAATATTTCTGTCCCAGCCCGGTCATGATGAATATTTCCATTTAGAAATGGAACAAAACAATTCAGACAACTGTGTCTCTAAAATTGGAAGTGGAATAGGGAATCGAGGAGGACATCTCTGGTTGAAATAGATTACTGAGAACACGAGTTCTATTTACAGAGCCAGAGGGTGACCTTGGCAAGTAGCCTATTTAGCGATCGATACAGAGAGTGTTAGAGGATGATCTGAGGGACCATTGATTAGAGTCATGTGCCGCTATGAATAGCAATAGAGAAGCCCACTCTTATGATAATTAATCATTACATTACTATATAGGTCTTTCTCAGAAAATACAATCCAGATCTATAACTGGCTCATTGTTGTTGATCAATATAGAGAAAACTGAGTGAATGTTATGATATGAAGTCAAGTAACAGCATCATCATCATTCTGTATGCTACCCTATCACCATGACTGGTCCTGAAAATAGCATTCCTGTAGCCTTCTACCAGCAGCAGCACCGCAGCATCCGCAAGCTAGGCTGTTAATTAAACATGGTGTTAGGCTAGCGAGGTTATAAATACAACATTAACACAGCCTGATGAGGACTACCTGCTGTGAAGAGGCCACACACACACACACACACTACACACACTACACACACACCACACACACACATACACACACACAACCTGCTATGATGAGTCAAGGACCCCAGGAAGAGTAGCTGTAGCTGCTGTGATTGTAACTGGGAATGGGGATCCAAATAAACTAATAAGACACACAGGCAACACAACAGTTTGTATCAGTTCCAAGAATAAATAATCCCATCCATAATAAAGGACAGCAGCCAGTGACACATACTGAACACTGTGACACATACTTATAGCACTATAGACATAGAATGACTAGATTCTGTTTCAATGGCTGAACCGTTCATTTCCTTTTCAGTCATTTAGCAGACACTTCCTATCTAGAGCGACTCATTTGAAGTAAGTGTGGAAGAGTTCACACAACTCCACGACCATTCAGTGATTCACCAGTAATGTTGGTGTGTTATAATGCTGTTGCAATGCTGATTTTCTTGCCTTGCAAATGCAGGTGAGTTATTCTTTTGAGAAGAATAGTGACCATTGTTTCAGCAACAAGGTCATATGAATAGCAGGCCAGTCATAAACCACTGCCTTGCTGCCAGGGATATTAATGTACAGCCACAGGGCTTTCCTTCCCGCCCTCCCTCCCTCCCGCTCTGGGAAGTATATTAATGTACAGGCACTTTCCTCCCTCCCTTTCTCTTTCCATTCTTCCCTCTCCTCTCTCTCCCCCCTCTCTCCCTCTCTCCATGGGCAGCAGTCTCTGTACCCATAACACGTGCAGCGCAGAACTACAAGCAGCAGAAGCAGAAATATGACGTGTGGTGTGGTGCAGCAACGCTTCGTTTCACAGTGCTCCGCCTGCCACCGCTGAGAGCTAGCGCCTTAGAGAGGTTTATGTTTTATGAGTCCTCAAGGTCTCCATCAGTCATGCTCCCAGGATGGATATAACCCATTTTAACGTTCAGATATCCTACATCCGTCCGTCGCCAACCGTCTTTTATGGAAGATGCGTTTCACCCCATCACCTCCTATCCAGATGACTGGGGCTGCATGCCAAATGGCACCGTATTCCTTTCATAGTACACTAAGCCTGTAACCTCCATCCACATCCCAACCCTGGAGAAATGAACCTGGAAGGCATGACATGGGGAGGTTTATGTAATCAGATAGGAGATGCCAGTATCTATCTGGGCAGCAGGCAATGGATTCACACACAGGGCTGGTTTCAGCTCTCAGCTCTGACAAGCAGTGCCAACCTATGGGGGACACCTGACAAGAGATCGCCTCTGATTGCTAACAATCTCGATCTCGATCCCACTGCAATGTTATTGTTTCAGTTCATAAGTTGTATGGTTTTAGTCTGACGAAAAATAACCTTCATTTGCAGTACTTCCAAAAACACAATACAGAATCTGAATTTTACCAAGATTAGAACCATCTTATTCAACATAGGGCAACAAAGAAAGTTCACTAGATCCTATCTACAAGACCATATTGTTTTTGTTCAACAGAGTTTGGCTAAAGGTATGTTTCAGAAAAGTCTCATACAGTACCTCAGACTGAAGTATCAGCGAAGGTCCAGGCAGGATGGCCATCAGACACATTATGATTCCAGTTTCTTACTCTCGTTCAAAAACCACAAACTATGAAGTAACGCAACACTCTCTCAACAAGAGTCATGTGTGTATTTAAAGTCGCTCTCCACAGAAAAAGCAATGGCACCTTTAAATGGGTCAAAAAAACACCCGTATCTCATAGCCTCCACAAACCACACAACCGCACTTCTTCACTGCAGTGTTTCCCCTGTACTCTTTCAAACCCAGCAACTATGCTATCTAGTCTATTCTCTGCCATCCGGAAAGGATAAA